TAGTGCTGTACCAAATGTTTTTTTTTTTTAACATTTAAAGCTTTTACACACTACGCTACATTACGCTTTTGACAAAGCTTTTTTTTATTTAATGTTATTTTACTATATTTTATTTTATTCTATTTAATATAATTTTACTTTATTTAATTTAATTTATTTTATCTTATTTTATTTTACTTTATTTTACTTGACATTATTTTACTTAATTATATCTTGTTTTATTTTATTTTATTTATTTTATTTATTTTATTCTATTTAATTTAATTTCACTTTACATTACTTTATTTTGCTTTATTTTATTTAATTTTATTTGTTGTATTTTATTTGATCTTATTTTATTTTATCGTATTTTACTTAATTGTATTTTATTTTATTTTTTATTCATCATCACAAATATCACAGTTTGCCTCAGAGGGCCAAGCAACATACAAAAAAGGGGAAGAAACCCCAGGAAGAGCAACTACTGTAAGTAGGGATCACCCAAATATGGTCACTTCTGGCTCCAGAAAGCCAATGGGTGATGTCACAGTACATTCATAATTTCTTTTAGTATATGATTCTACAAATATTGTAATACAAATACTTTTAGTGTAGTCTAATCTTTATCTGCAACTGTGCGGAAATACCGGGTTTAAATGAAATGCATAGACATTATGAAAAAAATAAAAATACTGTGCTGATTCTGATGTTGATTCAGAAATTAATGTGAATCCTATGAATGAAGCTTTGAACTGTTTGGTGCAGCCCTGAAAAACACCTTCTTTGAGGTAAGGGAAAGATCGCAGTCATGGTTTAAACATGACTGCCATTGAAGCAACAGTATATGTCAGAGCATGTCAGCCTCGGGGGAAACCAGCAAAACAACACATGACACTGTCATGAACCCCCTTAAAATATGCCTCCTCTTTTTGTTGAATAGGGTGGTAACCATTTGTTTTCTTTTTTAAAATCAGAATTATTACATACAGTGTAAACCTTATGTGATCTGGCAGTGCTGCGCTTAATTATGCTCATATCAATAAAGCACATTTGAATTTAGATAGAGAGGTATGGAAGAGGATCGAGACAGACAAAGATAGCAAGTGAGTAAAATGAGACAGGAAATAGAGAGACAGACTGAAATGGAGAGCGAAAGAACATCTGACAGCTAGAAAAAGAAGGAGGGGAATAACTAGAGGGAGACAGAAGGAAGGGTGATGGGAAAAAGGGACTGACGGCCTCGGAGAGATAGAGATAGGAGTGAGAGGGAGGGACTGAATGAGGTGAGGAATAAATGAAGAGGGAGAAGAGAGCGATAGAGTGAAAATGAGCAAAAGAAGCCAGAGAGAGAGAGAGAGGAGAGGGAGAGAGTAGTGTCTCGCTCTCATCAGTCAGTGCGTTGCTCATCCGGCGGCAGAGGCTGCCTTTGTCACCATGACGGATCCTCGCTGTCTGCATGCCGCTCGCCACCACACCATTACAGCACATTACTGATGTACACACACACGGAAACACACACAGAGGAGAGAGAACAACACATTTAACAAGCACACACACACACATGCAGAGGTGCAGCACAAGGTATTTAGCAAACACACACACACAGGTATGTTTAGTGTGCTGGTGTCAAATATACAAACGCACAGAAACACACACAGACATTTAGATAGGAGCCTGACATGTTTGGCACAGATATGTTGCACTATTGATCATATGTTCATGAAATGTTATTTGGATTAGGATGGTTGTATCATTATTAATTAGTCTGCTGATTATTTTTATCAATTGATTAATGAGTTGGTAAAAATAATAGCAGAAAATAGTAAATGAATGCCCAGCGCAGTTTCCTAAAGCCAACACTGACTTATTTAAATTGCATTTTTTGTCAGACTGCCTGCTCAGAATCCAAATATATTTATTATAAATACCCTAGGAGACAGAATATTGGGCAAATATTCACATTTGAGAAACTGGAACCTTTTGGCATTTTGCTCTAAAGCATTGTTTCATAGCCCTCTCTAGTTAAAAGGCTTCAAGCTCTTTCACTTCCCACATATATTTCCTTTGTTGCACCTTTAACCACACCCAGCAGTGATGTCACAGTGATACTCAAGGTCAGTTAAAGTAGATTTTTTTTTCAGGAGATATTAAGTTAAACTTTAAATATGACTCATTATTGAAATTGCAAATGAGGTAGATGGAGCTGGCAGAGTTGTCGACAAACATCAGGTACTTTCTATTATGCTCTTTGCTTTCCTTGTTCGCATCTCCTCCTCGCATCTTAGCTATTGGATGCGAGGAAGAGATGTGAGGTCCAAGCTGCCAGTTAAGAAATCCTTGGTTCCATAGTGTTGTGTTCCCGAATGGGAGTCTGGGGACATTTGTCTTTCGTTTTGTAATAGAAATGGGCGGGGATATCCAGACTACTTGACGGCGTTGCCATAGGTATGGCACGCTGTAAATCCTTAATTTCTCCAATGTTGTGGACGTTGCAGCTCTGCAATATAGCTGAATCAAATGAAATCATATCCATTTTAATCTCTTCTTGCGATGCACTTAACACTTCCTTTTCTGTTGTAGTACGGACAACAATTTGGGGAACACCAATTCCGGTGTAGGTGGGTGTAAGGCAAAGCTAATCAGCCATTGGTCGAGGAAGTACAGGAGTACACGGATTTGGATCCAATCACATCACTGTCGCTGGGAGCCAGCGCTAATTCTATTACAACTTTCCTATGGGAATGTTTACAGACGACAGAGTCAGTGTAAGAGACTAGGACATAACATGCCCTACTCTTCCCACTCCCAAGGAATTCCAGTTACACATTATTTTAAACAACAAAGCAGTTTATTTGGCTTTAGAGGTGAGCGGTGCCCAAAACAACAAAATACACTAATGGACCCTAAACTTACCTAGCAAAAACAAATGTGAAACAAAAGACAATTTTCTAACCTAAACTCCTACCATTCAAAACAAGAGCCCTCCTTGCCCTCGCAAACGAAGAGGCCATTAACCGTCAAATGACGGGGATGGTGAAGAACGGGCCGACTTATGCGAGAATCGCTGAAGGACTGACCAGCCACGGCTTCCCTCCCACGTCACTGTTTACGTCTCACGCTGAGCTACACGTTTTGTTACTTGCTCACGCCCCCCATTGCTCCGAAAAGGCACATTCTGTATGAACAAAAGTAGGCAGGCGGCATTTTGCTGCACTCCCCGATTTTGTTTTTATACTGCCAATGCTGAACGAAGACTGATTGGGCTTTCCTACAAATTTGCAAAGTTCCTATCTAAAAAGGGCTACACTCAACCACATGCACACTCTGGGCAGAGGAGAGAGAACATCTGACAGATCACTGCAGACTAATACAAGCACATCAATACCAAAAAATAATGACCTGGGTCACAACACATAGTGCCAGTCATAAGCAACTACAGTTACAGGTGCGACATTTATACGTGATGCGACTTGATAAAAGACTTCTATGTAAGAATACATTTTTGTTTCCTCACTCTCAGCTCCTTCAGAAGCATCCTCTCTACTTGTCTCCTTGAGGTCCATTTAAGGGACGATGGTGGAGGGGGAATGATTTGCAGGGTCATAGGAGGAGAAAGGATGTGAGGAGGCATATGTTAGTATAATGAAAAGCCCCTATGATGTGTCCCAAGTCAAGGGAAGCGATGTTGCTGCTACTTATTTTTGCTTTGCTGATTAACAGGTCGTCTTTAGCTGTGGGCCAGGCTCACTAGACAGAGGACAGAGGAGGCAGAATCAATTGACCTTTCAAATGGTGGATTATATTCTTAAAGCAGTGGTTCCCAACTGGTGTCAAACGTGTTAAGTTTGTTAAACACTTTATTTTTAAGTACAGTGAATTTCCGATCCAGAGCTTTTTATTTGAGGTGCCATTTCCTGCTGTAGAGAGAGTGACGGAGGGACAGCTGCTTGACGGAGACAGCAAACTAGCTCGACGACATGGCCAAACACAAGTGTGATGCTAAAGGTATTAAAGTGTGTGGACCTTGAGCTAATGACTAAGGAGAAATCTGGACCAGTTGGGAAACACTGTCTTAAAGCGTATATGCAATACAGTACAGACTGAGTCACTGGTTACTGTACTAATAACTCTTGTCCACGGTGGCTGTAATTACAACCCGTTCTTGCACTGTAGACTTGAAAAAATATGAAGCCATCCCTCAGGAATGTGGCCACTCTGTACAGACTGCATTAACACCTGGCTGAATGTGAGCCGGGCCACCTCCAGATGTGGAGCGGCCCGTGCTAATGCAGTCGTAGACTCAAATCGTACGGGTTATTTCCACCCTACTCTGCTTTACTCTGCCTCTGATTGGCTTATCCTGATGTTCTTATCCTGACCCCGACCTCACTCCTCATGCCTAAACCTAACCAATCCAACCCATGAAGGCTACGAGTACTCAGAACCAATCAGAGGGAGAGTAGAGCAGGTCATGTCTACACCATTGTAGGAAAGAAAAATTGACATACTGTACACACACACTGATCAGTCACACACTGTGGCCTTAGCAAGCATTCATATCTCACGTCTCATTACTGTACTCTGATGGTCACTGGACATACTGTAGGTCTTCACAGGCACACTGACACATACATACACATAAACACAGAGGCAGGGACTACAACATGCAGCACACACACACACACACACACACACACAGTCATGCTCATTTGGCAGCTACACACAGACAAAAACCTGCTGAGACAGTGATCGCACATAACTCACACAGAGACATAAATACCTCATTATCTATACACAGACACACACAAACTCGTTCTTACTACACACACACACACTCACACACACTCTCTCTCGTCGTTCTTTTCACTCTCTCTTTTCTCGCTTTCATTAAAACCACACTGACAAACAGCAGCATATGCAGTGACACTGAGCAACAGATGTTCAATGGGAGATATTGTGTAACTGAATGTGCGCTGTGTATAAAATGCTAACGAAGCTGTGTCATCTGTTTGTCTCCACAGTACTACGAAATGTCCTACGGTCTCAACATTGAGATGCATAAACAGGTAGGAAAGACTGTACTCAGTATTTTTTGTTTGTTTTTTCTTCTCACTGCTGGTGTACTTGGAGGCTGTGTGTGTGTGTGTGTGTGTGTGTGTGTGTGTGTGTGTGTTACCTTCTGTGAAGAAGTTGCATTTCTTGAGTAGGCGTGAGGAGGTGAATGTGTTATTTTACTCACACAAACACTGTATTGCCAGGATGTCATTTTGTGTGGGTGGTTTTTTACTATCTTGATCCTGTTCTCATTTGTTTATATTTTGTATTTACACAAAATGACCTCCATAAATATAAATGCCATGGCCAAATTTTTAGAAACACCTTAAATGCAAAGTATAGCTTCAAAATGCACCATAGCATTTGGTCGACACACAAAAACAACTACACTCTTATTTTAAAAGAAGGGCTTTAAAGGAACAGTGTGCAAGATTTAGGGGGAGATACTGGCATCAAGCGGTGAGGATTACAGATTGCAACCAGCTGAAACTTCTCCCAGTTAGGATTCCTTCAGTGTTCATTGTTCAGGAGGTTTTTAGCAGGAGCTGAATTATCTGTAGAGGTCTCTGTCTATCCAGAACAAACGGACCAGGTGATTTAAACCAGTAAAAACACTGAATAAAGCCATTTAATGTTACAAATCAGTGTTTCTCCAATGCCATTGGGCTTGTCGCAGACAGGCCGCTAGCCCAGCATCTGCTAATGTGTGCTCACCTCATTTCTGATCCAGACGTTCAGGAGGTTTTTACCCTGAGCTGAATTATCCGCAGAGGTCTCCTCCTCTCCAAAACCTGTGGATTTAAGCCAAAAAAAAAACGTTATTTCTTAACTTATAACTCAAGATCCAGATGTGCAGGAGGTTTTTACCAGGAGCCAAATTATCCGCAGAGGTCTCCTCCTCTCCAAAACAAACGGACCTAGTGATTAAAACCGGTAAAACACAGAATAAAGCAGTTTAACGTAACAAATCAGAGGTTTTCCTGTGCGTTGTCGCAGACAGGCTGCTAGCCCAGCACTTGCTAATGTTTGCTTACCTATTTTCTTGGGTAACTTCGCATGTGCTCACCTTATTTCTGATCCAGATGTTCAGGAAGTTTTAACCCCGAGCTGAGTTATCCGCAGAGTTCTCTTCCTCTCCAAAACAAACAGGCCAGGTGATTAAAACCAGTGAAAACACTGGGTAAAGCAGTTGAACTTCATAAATCAGTGTTTCTCTGATGCTGTTTGGTATGTTTGTATATGTTTGGAGTTGGCTGCTAGCCTCGCACCTGCCAGTGTGTTCTCATTTTATTTCTTAACTTAAGACTTATGTTATAACTTATGATCCAGACATTTGGGAAGTTTTTATCAGGTGCCAAATTATCCACGAAGGTATCGTCCTTGTTGGTGATTTAGAGGCCGCACACATGCTGCTTCTTTAACCTCCTGAAAAACACAAGTTTGGGCACTGGGCTGACTTTTGTGCCTTTTTTGAGGCAGCTTTCAAGAGCCCAGTGGCAGGTTGTGTCTGAGGTTGCTAAGCAACCTTAACAAGCACTGTATCAAAGCCTTTTTACCTAAAATCCTGAGTGCAGAGCTGATCTTCTTCCAGGAATTAATAAGTGTGTAGGCCTATTGTCTGTGGGACAAATGTAAAGCTCTGGGTATCCCTGCACTAACATGATCAACTTTTCCGTATTTATCACAGACCGATATTTACAGAATGATTGGTTGTTCCTCGCCACAAGAGGTGCTGCTTCGTTCCAAAAGTTGAACTTTTATTATTTATTTATTGTTTACTGTTATATCAGAGTGCAGCTGTTGTGTGTGCGCACCATGACGGCGTCGCTCTGGCATTTGAGCGCCCTTGCTACGCGTTTACATTTAAAACAATTAATTTGAGGGTGCAAAAAACGTGACATGTGTACCACCCCTTAAACTGCTAAAAACACAGAATAAAGAAGTTTCAAGTTAAAAATCAGTGCTCATTGCAGAGAAGCTGCTAACTATGGGCCACGTGAAAATGCAAATGGCCCTATCTAGAGCCATCATGGGCTGCTGTAGAAACTTGGCACATCAACATGGCGGATTCTGTGAAGGAGGACCCTCTCCCTGTGTAGATATAAACAGCTCATTCTAAGGTAACAAAAACAGACAGATTCTTATTTTCAGGTGAGTATACACTTCTATTCCTGCCAATATATCCCCCTAAATCCCACACACTTGACCTTTAAGTAATGTATTTAATGCAGAGTGGTTGTCTTGCATTATATCACATAGCACATGAGTTTCTGTTTCTCTAGGTTCTCATTGTATAGTGTATTGGCAGGATAAAGCAGGATCTGTTCCAGCTTAAATTCCTGTGTAACGATGATGAGCAGGGGAGTGACTCATCTTTGTAGAACCAGAAACAGGGCAAAGGAATTAATAACATTTTCTGTTAAAGTAGGACGTGGTTTTTTTTCTGTCTTTTTTTTAGTAGACTAATAATGAGTCAGCAAGAGCAACAAGTGGTTTCAACACTGAGCTATGGATGGCTGATTTTATTAGTTTTAGTAACGGGGTCACTGCGCAACACTGAAGTTTACCTTTCCATGCGTCCGTATGGAATATAAACGCAAGTACTGTTGCATGAAACCAGCTTCTCTGCACAATTATGATGTCCCTGTTGACTAAATGTTTATTTGTGTGGACAGTCTCTCTTTCGGTTATTATCAAGCAACACAAGCGCTGGCGGCTGATGTGAGAATTAGGGAATAATGTTACCATTAAGCTAGCTGGTACAGATGGTAACCATGACAATGTCAAATGTATGTTTTACACAACCAGTGGAGACAGACTTGAGGTTAACTGACACTAGATGTCGACAAGGCTTAGCTGTTATGGACAGGATGGGATAGTGAGGACACTGCTTCTTCTAAACAATGTGAAGACCAAATGCCAGGTGGATAAAAGAAGGTCAGTGTAAATGTGTATCATTTCTATTTATCCACTCTGGGATCCGGTATTCCTGAATGACGATGTGTCTGATGAGCAGTGTGTGCTCTCAGGAGCCGACGACTGCTTGTCAGTCCCCACACTTGCTGCTAATTTGCTGTCTGGGTCACACTGCAGGAAGGGGAGACAGGCAGATAAATGCACAGACAGACTGACAAAAAGGCAGACAGACAGACAGACAGACAGATCGCAGACGTGAGATCTGTTCGGCTGCGCTGACAGACCTCCATGCAGATAGACAGAATCATTATCCAGCTGAATGGCATCTTCCTTTAAGGTGACTGCCTGTGTCTCCCCCTCTCTCTTAATCTCTCTAACTGTCATGCTAACTCTGCAGTGGACTCAGGCACTGTCATGGGAGACAAGAAGGGATGCGTTTTTTACATTTTACAATGAGCTCCCAGCATGCCTGGCATAATGCTTTTAGAAAGCAGCTCATTGTTTCAAACAATCTGGAAAACGCCCTCAAATGAAAGCCTCCACACTCTGCACTTTAACCTCATAATCATTGTGTCATTTCACGATCAAGGTAATTATAGCACAGAGACATCAAACAGCGGGTGTCTGTCCAAATACTTGCAGTGCAGTGTACATACTCACTCCAGACTCCAGTACTCGCTGATGTTACGCTTAGTGGTTGAAGTTAGGGATGATTCAAGATCAGTTTAAGGGCTGATAAGAGTGTATTTTAACTGATCTGCATCTACACCTGGAACATTTAATCATTACGTTTTCAGCTATTAAATTAATCGCCAGCTAATATGATTATTGATTAATCGGTTTGAGTTCTTTTTTTAGAAATAAAAGCCAAATTCCCTGATGCCAGCTTCTTAAATGTGAATATTTTCTGGTTACGTTGTTCCTCTGTGACAGTTGATTGAATACGTTTGGGTTGTGGACAAAATAAGACATTTTAGCACGTCATCTTGGGTTTTGGAAAACACTGATTGACTTTTTTTTTTTTTTTTTTTGGATAGACGGATAACAACAAAACATAGTTACAAGTGCTGTTCCCCCTTTTTTGGTAAAAAGAACAGGAATAGTGAACATTATCTCCGCATTAAAAGATAATAATATTGTGTAAATATTGTTTAGTATTTTTTCCAAACAAGACAATAGAATGGAATGTGTACAAAGTTTGGTTGCAAATAAACCATAAAAGTAAGCTAGGTTAAAGAGAAAAAAAGAAAAGTAGATAAATAGAATAATAAAAGTCAAGTCGAAGAAAAAAAAAGATCAAACAATAAATTCAAAATAAATTAGTTAAAAAAATCTGCACACATATACATATAGATACATGCACATATGTATAAATAAATACAATAAAAGAAAAAGAAAATAGATAAATAAAATAAAATGGACAGGGTTGGTAAGGAATTCAAGTAGTTCATAAAAGAATTCTGTTTCCGTATTTCCGAGTAAACCTATCAGAGGATCCTTTCACTGTTAAACTCATTTTTTCTACTTTAAGAAAGGACATAACATCCTTAAGCCACAGCGATATAGATCGGGGTTTAGGAGATTTCCACAGGAGCAAAATGCGCCATCTCGCCAAAAGGGAAGTAAGGCTCATAGTTCTGACTGTAAGGAGTTAATTTGGAGTTGTTCAGATGATACCACAAATATAGCAATAAAGGAATCCATTTTTACCTGGACTCCTAAAATCTTTGTCAAAATCATAAAAAAGTCAGTCCAGAATTCCTGTAGTCCGGAGCAGAAGATGGACATATGGCTCAAATTACAAGAAGAAGCATGGCATCTGTCACATTGGTCCACAATATTAGTATATATTTCAGATAGTTGTTCGGTCTATAAAACTTAAGAAAATGGTGAAAAAAATCTCGACTAATTGACAAATCGCTAAATTAATTGACAGATTATTCTACAATGACATTAACAGTTATTTGCAGCCTTATCTGCATCAACTTCATTAAATCCCAGTCAGGTTCCTTTGCTTATGGTGACACGTTGTATCAAAAATACTGTAATTACACTCTGTTAAAACACTCAACCCTGTTCACATTCATTCCCATTG